TACAAATTCTTAGAATATTGAAGTACCGATATGTCCTATCGACAGGATATATGACATTCTTTGTAGTTTATTTAGTTCTTCAAAATTATGGGATGCGCTATGTAATTAAATTTAACCTGTAAATTAAAGAACATTTTAATATATATTTGTTGATTTATTGGTAGATTTCTGAACAATACTGTTACGTTTTACAATTATCCGATAAATAATTGAGTTACTTTCGCAAGATAAAGGTGTCTTTTCAATGCAACTATGACAAAATCAATCGTCACTAATAAATTTCTTAATCGAAATCTGGTTAATATAATGTCAATGACTAGTCTTCCAGGTGGAGATTTTAAATTTATCCGTTACATTAGTTAAAATTTTTCTTAAGGCCTAAACAATTTCCCAGATTTGATAAAGTCCTTTAAAAGTTGTAAAGCTTCACAAATGCAATTAGTATTACAAAAGGTAATATAAATCACTGCAAATATAAAAGGCAAAATTGCTTGCAGAAGTAGCTGTCATCTCATTAATCATGCTTGTAATAAATTAGTGTAATTTTGAATGTATAACTAGAATATGTACAAATAGCTTTGCGATGTATTGTTGTTTAAATTGAATTCAAGCATTTTTAATTTTAAAGCAGAATATGCGCTATGTGAACGATTTAAGTGAATTCAAATTTATTTCAACTAAAAGGTATTTAGAACCAATGTAAGTTGATTCTAAATCTAGTAAAATTCCAATCCAATGTTAAATAATAGAGCTTTATACGATAGTAAACTTATTGTTAACCGACTCCTATTTGCTTTCAATATCCTACTAGTTTTCGTGCTATTTTTTTTTAAGAATGAGTTATTCATGTGACCGGTACATTTTATTGAAGCCGATAAGTTGGTGTGCCCTAATAACGATAATGATTGAGATTTTTAAAGATCATTGCAGTTGCACTAATCAGAATTGATGTTTAATGTGTGGTTTAAATTATTTTAAATAAATTTAGGGTACCAAAAATATTGTAGGATGCCGTAAATGCTTTATGTTTCTAATACAAATTGTCTATTAATAGACCGATTCTCGTGACGTGCTATAAATCTAATAAAGTACTTTAGTAGCGGTAGTAAATGTTTCACGATTTATTCAGATCGAAGCGACTGGAGATAATGAGACATTGGCTATATGTTGCATTAGTTTAAAGTCATTTAGGATAGCAAGCATGTTTATTATTGATTATATGAAACGATAGATTAGGGATAGAGAAGTATCATTGTTGTTATTACTTCAGATTATTCCATTTTAAACACGGTTACACCAGATCTCGGCGAAATTTTTAGATTGATAACGCATCAACTGGTATTAATGCTTGATTACATGATTTAACAGTCAGGCCGTGATACCATAATTTTTAATATGTAAGGAGGATCAAACCGAGTTCAGTAATCGTGAGATACGTACATAAAAGGATTTTTTAAAGAATTAAGAATTTTCTCGTTACGCAGTAATCTCGATGTGAAATTTTTCCATTGTCTTATGGCGCTTGCCATGCATTTTTTCATGCGGAAGTCATTTTTATTATCGGAAAAAACAAATTCACTCCGATAGAAAAAAAATATTACCAAATTGAAACCAAAAAAGTTTTATATAAATCATAAATAATAATTAAAAGCATCACAACACGATAACTTTCAAAACAAGTTGCTCTTTAGAAATATGAATCAAGATCTAAGCGCAATTGAGAAAAATCAAGATTTAGAAAATGATAATAAAATTCGTGAATTTTGGATGAAGAATATTTGCGATCACGATAAACTCGCAAAAAAAACTAAAGAAACTTATGATTTCATTATCGTGGGTGCTGGTACTGCAGGATGTGTGCTTGCTAGAGAATTGATTCATTGTATTCCAAATATTAACATCCTAGTATTGGAAGCTGGAGGCCCTGATACTCATTCTAATGGTATAATTAACTTGCCTTGTGCTTCCTTAAAGGTGAAATAAGCATCTATTGATAATACTTTTATAAATTATGTGATAACTATTTTTTTTTTAATATTAATTAATTTACTCTCGTTGTTTCTAAACATAGGCTTTACGAATAAGCGATATTGACTGGGGATATGTTACTCAAGAACAAAGAATGCCAAGCTCTGTAGACCCTATCAAAGAAATCTTAAAAAAGGAATCTTCTTATTTACGTGGAAAGGTTTGGGGAGGAAGTAGTTCTTTGCATGCAATGGTTTATTTGTAAGTTTATATAGTTTCATAAACTTACAAATTTTATTTATTATGTTTTGCTTTTTTAAATTTATATCTTTATTTTTTAGGCGGGGTCAGGCAAAAGGGTACAATGATTGGGCAGCTCAAGGCCCTGAATATAAAATTTGGGATTGGGATCATTGTTTAGAAGGTATGACTTCGTTATTTCATTTTAATTCGAATCATTTGATTTACTTAAAAAGTATATATTTTTTCTTTAAAAGCATTTAAAGCAGTAGAAAAAAATTCACGAAAGAACCCTGATGAAAATTTTAAAAAATTCCATGGATTCAATGGTTTACTTCATGTACAAAACCACCAAAATGGGATATATGATATTATGTCGGGTGTGATTGATGCAGCAAAAAACCTCGGAATTCCCTATAACGACGATTTTAATGGCGAAAGACAAAATGGTGTTGGAATGTTCCAGGTGCCTTTATAATAAATTTTTTAGTTTACATGCCAGTTTTGCTTTGTAGTTTTTAATATATGTTATAAATTATAGTTCACAATCAAGGATGGAAAAAGATGTTCTTTGGCTGATAGTTATCTAAAAGATGCATTAAAAAAAGTTGAATTACACCCAGATTCGAAATATGATAGTTTCGGAAAGGTTGTAGCAGTAGATGTTAGATCATTTGCTCATGTACTAGATATTATTTGGGATGAAGAGAATAAAGAAGAAAATATTGCAATCGGCGTAAGATATTTTTGTAACGGTACCGTACGTCAGGCTTTCACTCAGAAAGGAGAAGTCATACTTTGTGGTGGTGCTATTAATAGTCCTCAAGTAAGAATATACCATTATAACGATATGTTAATGTATCATAATCCTTCCTATTTTTATTTTATTTTATTTTATTTTTTAAGATCTTAATGCTTTCTGGCATTGGACCAAAAGAAAATCTTGAATCAAATAATATAAAAGTTCGTAAGGAACTACCAGTTGGAAAAAATTTATTAGATCATCCGAGTTTTTGTCTCGTTGCTAAATCGTCCCCAAATGCATTCAATTATTGGAGTGGTGGATGTGAAATTGGAATAATACATAAAGCTAATGTTGAAGGGAAGATTCCTTGTAAAGATGACTTCTTTGATGAGAATCCTGACATTCAGATTATTGGTATGTTTTGAGTAAAACGTGAATTTGCAATTATTTTTATTTATTTGATTTAATATTATAAATAGCGACTACGTACCAAGATGGTTTTTTAGATCCTTCAATAGAACTTTATAAAAAACATAACAAATTCGATGGAATTATTCTAATACCAATTCTTAACAATCCATCAAGCGTTGGTTATCTAGAACTTAACAGCAATAATCCATTTGATCAACCAAAGATATATTTAAACTTCTTTGAAAAATCAGATGATTTATATAGAATGATTAGTTCACTTAAATTATGTCGTGAAATACTTAAACAACCTCCACTAAGTACTGTTTATAACGTTAAAGAAATTGGTGTCAATGATGAATTTGGACAATGGTGCACTAACGGGGATGATATGAGTGATGAAGGTTGGGAAAGATTTATTGTGAATAAGGTAAATATTTAAAATAATTTTATATTATAGATAAATATATTTTATAAAAAATTTTCTTATTATCATATCTATCTTATTTGTGCTTAGTCAACATCGTTCCATATATGTGGAACAGCAAAAATGGCACCAGAATCCAAAGGTGGAGTTGTTAATCATCGACTTCAAGTTTATGGTACGAAAAACCTTCGTGTTGTTGATGCTTCGATATTTCCATATATTCCAAGCGGAAATACGAATGCGCCTACAGCCATGGTTGCTTGGAGAGCGAGTCGGTTAATTATTGAGGATTATATGAAAACATGTTAAATGAATTGAAAATTTCTTGCTTATTTTACGTAAGAATATATATTATATATATCTATAATAAATACTATGTACAGTGGATTTCACCTATAGGCGCCAATTTTTTAGCTGCAATGTAAGTTAATTGTCCAATAAAAATTTAATACAATTTTAAATATTATTAATAAAATTTAAAATTTTGTTAATAAATTTAAATTTTGTTTATATACAGTGGATTTCATCTAAAGCCAACATATTTTATATATAGGCGCCAATTTTTTAGCTGCAGTGTAACTTAATTGTCCAATAAAAATGTAGAAAACCTTAATACAATTTTAAATATTATTAATAAAATTTAAAATTTTATTAATAAATTTAAATTTTGGCATGTTTTTTTTATATATAAACGCTAAATTTTTAAAACATATATAAATTTAAATTGATTTTATTATTATTATTATTATTATTATAATTATTATTATTATTATTATTATTATTATTATTATTATTATTATTATTATT